GTCAACAGCCTAGAAAAGCACTCAATGTTTTTTCAACTTTGACTTTTTGTCCCTTTTAATCGATGTTTTATAGCTCACTTCGTTTTATTTAGTTTTAAACACGCCCATTCTCATTGTTTGCGCTGACTATACTGAAAAATTCACATTTTCACCGCGCGCGAGTTAAATTCGTCCCACTCTACAGCCACGGTCACGACGACGACGTCGGCTGCGGCGCGCATTTATGCAGAAGTGTGCAAGCGTAGTCTCGGCGTCGCCCGTCTGGCGCACGCGCGCTGTACTTTTTCGATCACTGCTATTTTCCCGATATTCACACTGTGTGCACGATTCTGCACACATTTTTGGTCGCCTAGATAGTGCAGGTGCTCATTTCTGCCTAGCACAGGGTATGAAATGAATTCTCTAGGGTATGCTCGACTACCCAATACCCTATTAATGTCAATTGCCCATGTACGAGGTATTATTTTCCCTTACCCTCTGAAAAAGTACCCACCCCTTAGGGTATGCCCAACTAAAACTACCCTTTAAAATTTTTTTTAACCACTTATTTGGGCCCGACTGCGGGATTTTAGGCTGCCAACATACCACGCCCCAAAACGCCTCAAGATACGAGATATTTAGAAGTTCGCTGGGATTGAGTGCTCAAGGGTAGGAGGGGGCAAGTGAATGTTCCGATCAACCTATACCTCTTTGTTCACAACACCTACTCTACAATATAAACACTAAGATGAGTAACGCCCATACATTTGAATGCGACGCAAAATTCCTGGCCTTTCATCTGGCCTTTGAGGCTTCGTATGGCATGCCTGCCGACTGGTTGTTCGTTCTCCAAAGACCAGACGAACGAATGCCGAAGTCGCGGCTTGCTGATGCTGACACGAGCTACGAAGTTAGTCGCCAGCCTGCCATCAGCAAAGCTGGTCGATGCTGCTTTGCGTCGCTTCGTTTTCGAAGTACATTGAGCGAAAAAGTTTAGAACTTACGATCGACGCAAAGTGCTTGTGCCTTATCCATGAAATGCATGCTTTATTTAAGATTTGCATCGACTTAAACACTTTTTTTTGTAGGAAGCCAACCTCAGTACACAAAAAGCATTCATATATCAACAGAAATTTTGGATAGATCGTGATCTGCGCTAAAAAACTAAGAAAATTGTTTCTTTGCCAGCCAAAGACTTTGCCAGAGCAGTAGATAACAACACATTCAAATATGCTGTTATGTATGTATATTCACACGCATACAAGCATAATTGCTTGCACGGCCCTCATAGAGCCGAAGCTGAGAGCAAATTCTATTTTTAGCTTTTTCGTTCTCTCGGCTGTAAGAGCGCAATGCGACAGATTTCGTTTTCGTTCTCGATTTTCAAAAATCAAGCTGCATAGTGGCATTTTGTTGTATAGCGTTACTCATCTTAGTTTTTATATTGTCTTTGCTCGTACCACCTAATCTACCAGGCTGTAGCCTCGCACCAACTGAACTACCGGGCCGTGGCCACGCACCATCTACACTATTGGGCCGTATCCTCGTCCCAATTACACTAACGGGCCATAGCCTCGCACAAACTGCACTACCGGGCCTTGGCCTCGTCCCACATGCTATCGCTAGGTTAGGGTGAACATCGTCTATTCCCGATGTTAGAAATAAGAATCACTACCCTACTAACTACTATGTTTTCTAAACTAAAACTGTGCCGCGCTGTCTTGAAGCTCTAGCGCTCCGCTGCACATTGTGCGTTTCGTGGCTCACACTTCTTGTCACTTCACGTCTACTCACCCTGATAGTCCGTCAAAAAGTGCCGGCACGCTCGCTAGCGAGCCATGCGTTCGCCTCAGCCGCTCAACTTCGTCGCGAGCTTTCCCAACTCGGAGCTTTCGCTCTTCGCCGCCGGATTGAAGTTGCGCTCTTGAAAGCGTTGTTGAGCAACCGATGGCTAATCCTGGTAGCCGCCTCACAATGTTCTTATATCTGTGTTTGCAAGGGTTTTTGGTCTCCACATCAAGTGAACATCATTAAAATCAGATGTGTGTTGAAGGATGCTAAGGGATATTATGTCAAGCCTCCATATTCCTAGCCGTCAATAATCAATATAATGGTTGCATGTAGTAGCTTTAAGTTTTTCAAAAAACATAGGCTTCTATAACAGGTAGCCTAGACTTTCTCGATTCCAGATTGTTTAAAAGACTTGCCGCCTTTAGAGGAATGGCTTATTTCCAAACGCATTCCTTTCATGATTATTAAGTCTTTATGATATGGTCGACTTAATTCAATTGAATGAGTAGTGGTCAAAATATCAATGCCTGTGGCCAACGCTTTTACACCCCTTTCTCCCACCCTTCAAAGGGACTTTAATGAGACCAATGTGGTTCAGATTCATATTTGTATTTAATTATTTATTTATTGACCAATGCTGGCAGCTTTGGAGTTATCTTATATAAATAATATTATCTTAAATAACAAAATAACTAATCGAAAAGTATGAAACCTAAAGAAAATGTAAAATAAATTTGTTTTAAAGAAAGTCTTCTTTATGCTTATTTACTACTACTTACTTGCTGATACTCCAGTAGCTATGAGCAGTTGCCCCTTACCTTGTTTCTCGCAATAATGCTTGAAAAGATGTGATGTAAGTGCAGTACCTCTATCAGAAACGATTCGCGCTGGATTTCCAAACAGAACATATTGCCTTTCTAAGCAATTTAATACTTTGTCAACACAAGTGCTGCGGGTTGGGTACAACCACACAAATTTGGAAAACCCTTCTACCATCACTTAAATTCGGTTTTAACGTTTGCTGGTTAGCTCCATTGGCCCTACGCAATCGATATGATAAGTACACAATGGTCGGCCCCCCTTTCTAAGTATCATGGTCGGAAATCCCTTCCTTTTCCCAATTTTAGCATTCAAAGTAATGCATTCTAAAAATCTATCATGACTCTTTTTAGCGAAGAAATTAACTTGCTTGTGTGCAATATGCATGATATCCACTTCCATTGGACACGGCAGCACGATTATCTACCGATTCGGATCTTTGTGCAAGATTTTGTTTTTTATGTAGAAATTTTCATACCCCTTTTCCTCAACAATTTTGCAAACTATCCTTGTCCATTCATCCCCCAACTGTGCTTCTCGCAAGCCATGTACCAATTATCGGTTAACACATAGTATGAAACACGGCTCAAAGCATTAACATGACGCATTTTGGAACCCGAACGATGCTCGATTTAAGTCTTGTAAGTACATTGACAATCTAGATACACACAAAAGCACTTCTTTGATCTTCATTGTCATTGTAAGCGCATTACCTGAGTATTAATTTGGACCTTATGCCAAATGCGTACATTTAAGAACATTTTAATTAGTACAAACATTTTTATAATATAATTATTATTATTTTTTTTTTTTAAATCTGCCCGCTTTTTTGGGCAATAATCAAATTTGTTCTGAAAACGTTGGCAGTTAAGTTTTGCGTGTAACTTTGTGTCTATTTAGTGTAGGGGGAGCAGTGGAGCAGATATGTGACCAAGAACTTCTAAGTGGTATGAGTCGTACTTTTCTTCAGATGCACTTGCCTTACGGCTGGCTCATTTACTGAAAATGACGAAACAAAAAGCCTTCTAGGTCTTTCTGCAACAATACCCAACCAAAACCAGCTTGCTACCATCCATGTCCTTTTCTAACTTAGGGTTATACAATTTTAATACTGGTCCATTCGTCAACACTTTTCTCAATTTTTCAAATACGAAATGCTGCAAGTCTACAAATACAAAAATTACATTCTTTCGCAAAATGTCAGCCAATGGTTTTGCAATAACTGCACACCCCTCTACAAACCTTCGAAAATAGGATATCCTTTTTTTAACAACCTGGGTATTTTCCTTACTCGGAGTTATAGTTCGCTTTTGCACTATATACCCTAGTAAGCTAATTCTACCTTGGAATAGTTGACACTCTGAACAATTAATGCGTAGACTACTCGTCCCTGCAACTTGCAGCACTCTTTTGAGCTTCACCAGGCCCTCATCAATATTACTGCTCGAAATGATGGTGAAGGGCAAATATCGAAATTCATACTGCCCCTTTTGTGTCATGAATGAAGTATATTTCTGTGAGCCTGATTCAACGGGTACGTAGAAAAATCAATTTGTCAAATTTAATGTAGTAAAAGCTAAAGAGCCTTTCAGCTTTTTTAATTACGGTATCCATTTGAGGCATAGGAAAATGATCACGAATCACCTTTTCATTTTAATTGCGGTACTCGCAGCACAAACACTTTTTATAATTCTCCTTGGCCACTAAAACAACTGGTGGCGCATATTCCGGGTTTGGGCTTGATAACTTTCTCCGCTAGCCATTCTTTCACTTGGTCATCAACCATATTCTGATCTCGGATGCTGAAATACTGCTAGCTCGTCTGTTAAAATTATCTACACCTCAATTGGAGAGCTAAAATTTCTAAATGGCTTATAGAAATGTACTAGTCGCCCAACCGACCTGTGTTGCAGCATGCATATACTTTGAAACTCATTGAACAGTTCAAAACAAAAACTACTTATTGTCAGCGCTATTCAACTTTGAATTTAAATACCGTCTCCCTTTTGGTCACTTGTAAGTCAATATACTTCAATATGGTTCTGCCAAAAATTTCCTCAAAACTTCATATTCATCTTATCCCACATGAAACTCAATTTACATTTGAATATTGTCAATCTTAACGGGTATTATGAAACTTTCAAAAGTCCGAATTTGGCTGTCAGCTTTACCCGCTAGAGTCTTAGAACACCCGGTTAACTGATTTCTAACTTCCGATAGACACATCTACGCACGAGACGTAGGACCACTCGGGTATACACTAAGCCTTTGAAAATCAGTGAAATACAAGCAATTTCTTTCAATTCTAAGCCAGAAGAAGTGAATGTGCCTAATAACTTTAACATCAACTTTTCATTTCGGACAACATTCGTCGATTTTTCCTGATTCTTACCACATTTACAACAAGAAAATTTATTTTTAGAATAGCCCTTTATTTATTACAACAGTTACGGATTTTATTTTTTTAAATCTTGACCAACGGTTGTCTCTCTTTTTGCAAGTTGCAAGACCCAGGAACTTTTTGATAGGTTATTATTTGAACAATCAACTGTTCAAGCTTAATACATAAGCGACTTGTTTGTTTGAGAACCCGGTATGCCTCCTATAAATTAGTCAATCAAGCTCTCACTCCCGAGATCGATTAATTTTTCTATTTCCATCAACGCATATAGATTTCTAGAAGTGTCTCACCCTTTTTCTGCTGTCGCTTTCTAGCACCTTTTTAGAACCTCTCGAGAATAGTTGTGAGAGCTGTTTCCAAACGAAGAAAGAGGACAATGTGCTGATCGTAAAGCTTAACCCAATAACTTGTAACTTTAAACATTACAATTAATGAAAATATTCCACATATTTGACGGCTAGTCCAGGATTGACGAAGTAAAGTGATTTGGAGGCCCATCCGGGATTAACGAAGTTATGTGATTATAAGGCTCATCCCGAGTAAAGAAGTAAAGTGATTTGGAGGCTCATCCGGACATAAAGAAGTAAAGTGATGTGGGGGTTCATCCGGAGTTGAAGAAGTAAACTGAAACGATAGTGAACATATTTTATAGACAACGTAAATGTAGAATGTGCAGAATTACTTAAATTTACACCTTTAAAGAAGAAAAACTAAAAAAAAATTTAACGTATTAGTTCGAGGAAGTCTGAAAGCAGCAGCAAAGACAAATATTTGTGCATCGCACAAATTTATTTTTCAGGCCGAGGGTGACAGAAATATCGACGCCGTCTGCGTGAATTCAGCGGCTTTAAATATAATGAAAACGACGCAACATATTTGACGAAAAACGTATACATACAAGAAAAGTTGTCTAAGCGTGACCTTGTATCGACTTTCACAGTTTTAGGAATAAATCTAGAAAACATTGCGTTACATTTTTTTTCAGAATTAGCTCACCAGCCAACCGCTTCGGCATAGTAACAATGCAGACGAAGACGAGGAAAGAAGGGAAGTAGAAAACGAAAACCTGAAGAGCGACGCGCACGAATTTGACGATCCAAGAAAGAAACGATGACGAATTAGCAGAGGTAGCAGCGATTGAAAACATACGAGCTCGCGCAGCTCGAAACTCTAAGCAAAACGACGATTGCCAACAACTTTGCTATAAGTTTTCGCGACATGGAAGAGTCCATCCGAGTTTTTAATGGCAGTGAGGAAATTTCGGTTAAAGTATGGGTGGCAGAATTCGAAGATTAAACTTTGCCCATGTGTTGCAGTGATTTATAAACACTCATTTTTGCAAATACATCATAACTAGGTATTGCGAAAGAATTTGTTTTGAGCGGATAGCATCTCAATTCATGGGCTGCTCTGAAGTGTATCGATGGTGCGAATTAAAATCTAGAGTAACAGTAAGCACATACATTCACAGTTGACTGAGAGGAAGCATCGGATGGTGAGAGCGCCTACGAATATTTTTATCGCATGAGAGACATTGCATCTCGTGGAAATGTGAAAGACGACGCACTCATGCACTACGTGATCGACTCATGCATTACGCCCTGACAAAATAACCTGTGATTAAATGTGATATTAGGTATTGCTAGAATTTGATTATTGCTTACTATTTGTTTTGTCTTACCCATTAAAAATGGGTAAATGGGTATAAGGGTATATTGTATTTGCGCAAAATAGAAATGTATGTAACAAGCAGAAGGAAGCATCTCCGACCCCATAAAGTATATATATTCTTGATCCGCTCCAATAGCCTAGTCGATCTAGCCATGTCCGTCTGTCTGTCTGCCTGTCTGTCCGTCTGTCCGTCCCCCCGTCTGTCCGTATGTATGAACGCAAGGATCTCAGAACCAATAAGAACTAGAGACCTGAAAGATGTAGGTGCTCCTAGTGACTGCGCAGATCTAGTTTGTTTCCGATAATCGATAACTTACTCCGTTTCCAAGCAATCGATAAAAATCGATATCGATATCTTGTTTTTAAGCAATTTAGTAAATATTATGGCAAATGGCAAATGGCAATATTAATACCCGTGGAAGGAGGTCCTGCGCGGCTTTCACCTTTTCCTGACCAACCGTGCCCGCGAGTGGTATTGGATGCACGTGCGGCATTCTAGGGTCGACAGCTGGATGCAAATGCGGCACGCTCTCTTAGACAGGTTCCGGGGCTATCAGACGAAGCACGATGTGATTCAAGAGCTACAACAGAGAGAGCAACCGACCAGCGAAGGGGTGGATGATTACATCAGCTGGTGAAGATTATAAAGCGTGGTTTGAAGGAGAGTCTGGCAAAATAAATCTGTGGTATGAACCGTAGAAGAGCTGTGCCAAGAGTGCATAGAAGTGGAGATAGGCCGCAGGAGCCGGATTGGATACGTGCAGCCGTCGTGTTACTCGCAAGGAGCAAAACCTATAGTTCACAAGGTTGAGGTGACACCATATCGTGCGGAAACCCCGTCTTGGCATCTGGATGAGGCTTTCGTGCGAGACAGGACATCTTCCCGGCTAGTATGCTGGAACTGAGCAGAATCAGAGTGCGAAAATTGTCCAGGAGCCCCAGAGGTAGCGCGATGATGGTGGGACAGACGTTTTCGGGGACGGCGACTGAGGAAAACAGGAGGAGAACACATACGAAAACCAATAGTCTTTGATGATGGATATGGACCATAAGAATCAGAATAAGGCTATGTTTAAAGGGATGGACTAAGAAAGAGCATAAAGAGGCTTACCGTATGAAGAACCTGTTCGATCATACATGTCGGCGTGCAACAGAATTTTTGGTGAGAAACAGTTGGATTGGATGACGCTGGCAACCCGAAGAATGGTGAAGGTTCGCGCGCGCTTCCGACACATGATTACGAGGCGCCAGGTCATTTAAACGGTATGGCGAGACGATGGCATAGACCCACGCCAATGTGGAGGTCGCTGGGATAAGAATAAGAGGGTGGTTAGACACGGGAGGCTCAGTCAGTCTGCTGGGTCGAAGATGCCGGGAGTTAGTGGAGGAATTGCGTTGCGAAACGCAGCCATACGGATCAATGGCAAGGATAGTGACGGGCGTTGTGCTGCTACAGGAGTAAGAATGAACTGATCGTATTTTACATGTGCCTAGACTTGCGACAGGAACTATACCTGCACATCAACTTCTGGCGAGCCTTCGAGATCGGCCCAGAGATGCTCGACCCGGCCATAAAGTCCGAAGCATCTCAAAAGGCATCTAAGGTTACGGTAATGAACCCAGAGGTCGCTTATTACCGAGACGAGGACGATCGCGTGACGGTTTCGGAAATGTGAGATCCGAACAACGACCAAAATAGTCAATTGGAAGGCGTGAAACGCAGATTACTCCAATTTGAAAAGAATGGCATAGGAAACACTCACCTGTTGCAGCATCGAATATAGCTGATCGTGGGAGCCAAACGCGTGAAGGATAGGCATTATCTGTTGTCACCGGCCAAACAGGAGAGCGTGTGAGCCTAGGTGGATAAATTGCTAAAATCACGGATCATCGAGGAGACTGACAGCCTATGGAGCAACCGAACGGCGGTGGTGATGAGGCCGGAGAAGAATCGGTTTGTTGTTTAGATGCCAGGAAAAAAAATAGAGTGACGGTAAAGGACGCCTGGCCGCCATGAATCGAGGGCATCTTGTCGCGCATCGACGAAACGCATTTTATATCAAGCATCGATCTTGAGTTATCGTTTTGGCAGCTCAAGATGGAGGGGAGAAGAAGGGCGTACATGGCGTTTACTCCAGCGGTGCTACCGCTGTAACAGTTCCGCCACATGCCATTCGGGCTCTGCAACGGCGCTTAACAACTATGCAGGCTAATGGATAAGGTGTTCGTTTACTTGGGCGGCTTACTTATTATATTATGTTAAAAGTGCCCGAGTTCGCAGGGATCTCGCTTAAATAAGCTGTTTAATCTGAAATTTGTTAAGTATGTAGACTCGGAGGCTCTGAGAGTAGTTATAGACAGTGTGAATTCGCAGTTGGCGGCCCTTAAATCTCTCGGCAGTGAGCAAAACATTTTCGACGTGCTAGTTTTTCATTTGAGTTGCAGCAAGCTAGATGATAAGACACTCGATTAGCGGGATAAAAAAAATTACCTTCGTGGCCATTGTTATCGCAATTTCTAATAAATAGAGATATGAACTTGACTAATCTAAAAGTTCGGCGGAGCAATGGTTATCTGCCCAACGGCCAAAACATATTAAACAAAGCTAGCTTAGCTGGTAGCAACATTGGCAAGTCGTGTTCAGTAAAGAAATACAGCGGTTTCAGGAAATTAAAAGACGTACGCTATGCCTAGTATGTTTCATAAAGCGGCATGTAACGAGGAATTGAGATAGCTAACGCTGTACCATATGCAACAAACCTCACCACGAATTGCTTCACCTTAATGTCTCGGATAGCGTAGGTGACGGGGTGCATAATGGCCAATAACAACAAGGGGACAGTTCTTTACATAGCGCACTATTAACGAAGCCATCTGTAAGTCTCCTAGCGACCGCCGCGTTTCTGATAAAATGTAACGATGGAATTTGTCATAATTGCAGATATGTTTTAGACTCTTGCAGTCAAATTAACATGCATAGTTCTAGATTAGTTTCGACAGTGAATCTAAAAATGCGTGAATCAAGTATGCGACTCAGTGGGATCTCAGATTATTGGTGAGGTACTTTCAAATCTATAGTGACAAGGTTCGCAGCCGCCGAGCGGATCTGTCCAGGGTTAAAGGTGACTTCCTTAGAGCCCTATAGCGTGACCTCTAATGTTGAAGAGGTTCCTCCAGCTTAAGTTTATTATCAAGTTAAGAATTCAATAATGCGAAATAAAATATTACAACCGCCTTGTGTTGAAGTTTAAACTAAACTAAATTATTCTTTATCAACAGAAGTATGTAAATATCTTAAATGTCTACAAGCTGCCAAGCTGGTCGTCGCTGATGTCCCATTTCTATATGTGTCGCAACATCAACATCCTGTCTATTGCTGATGTTGCGTTTTTGGGTTGATGTAGCAACATAGTGCTACAATGTTGTGTAGGCACTTCTGGTCGAATACAGGGTGTCTGATTAAGTACCGCCCACACATTGAAGATTGTTTATGTTGGCTTGCTTCGTGGAGCCTTGGGCGTCCCATCTCGATGGGGGCTGATGGTAACTCCTTCCCCTCTAGTGTGGAGTGAGGGCCATAGGGATGGTATTGTCGAGAAGTCGATTGAGGGTGTGTCCATTGGCACGAATGAAATTTTCCTTGGCTTACATGCCCATATTACGCCTATTATTGTGGCAGTTAACGCAAACAGGGTGTAAATTTAAAAGGTGTGGTTTGTTGCGGTGCTTTTCATCTGAATAAAGGCGTTTCGGCTAATTAAAGCTTACAGGTGGAGTTTGTGTAGGCTAAGGTCTTCGATGGTGTTGTTAATTTTCAAATCTTTATTTCTTCATTTAGCCATTCTGAATCGTTATATAATAATTGATGTTCAGCGTACAGCTCTTATACGAAACAATCGCTGAACCTTTGATCGTGCGATGTCTGCGGCAAGATTAATATATTGTGGTGTATAAAAATGTGCCTTTTCTCCACTTCTCTGATGGTTTCTTCGTCACCGATATCTCTAAGATCACATGTTGTAGTTCGGTATAAGAGTATGCCTTATAGGCATTGGTAATTGTTCTCGTAACTTGTCAATTCGGAGTCTTCGCAGATGTATGTTTGGTAGACTTTGGGGCTTTTCTTATTGAAGTATCTATTGTGGCCAGCTTGGTAATGTTACATAATTGGGTAAACTTAACTTTTTCGATTCGCTTATAGGTAATGGTATAATGTGTACGAGTTAAGATTAATTTTTATCAAATCGGTATCTTAATATTAAAAATACCAATCGTTTCCTGTATATAAGCTCCCAAAGTTAGTAATCTATATAAATGTTATTCTTATTTTATCACAAGGGTTTGTTCGGTAATAAGCTTGTTAGTTATTTCGAATTCTTATGTTGTTGAAATAAATGTTGGAATAACTTTTAACTTTGCTAGCAAGATGCTTTATGCAATATTTATTTGCTGGTATACAATTTCAATATTAACGTTAATTCTTGATATATACTGTAACAAGTGTATTTCATTGTGTTGCTCGTTTAAGGTCCTAAATATATTATTATATTAGACAAGTCAGGAAAATTGCGTGATCATACCAAATATATTCACACCTTGTAATCAATAAATAAAATATGAGAGCAAAGTCGCACATTGGTGACCCCGACGTTTGAATAAACGCAAAAGTACCAAAATTACGCAATTCCCCAAATTGGTGGACGCAATCGTGCACGCTTACACACGCACTTACAAGTTGCCAAGAATTTTTACATTGAATTTATTACTGTAAACTCACATAAGAAATGGGGAGAGACGAAGCAGCAATGGAGCAGCAAGCCAGCCAAAGTAGCACAATCGCCGGCATCAACGCCGACACTCACGGGCAGAACACGCCAGGCACATCCCTGACTCAGGCTAATCAGGAAATTTTTCGGGTAGGCGTCAAACCGCCGCCATTTTGCAAGGAACAGCCAGACTTATACTTCATACAGATGGAGTCACAGTTCGCTGTATCAGGTGTATCTACTGACAGCAGAAAGTATC